TCTTATTTACATTTCCTATTTCCTGCAATTTTCCTAGGATTCCTAGGATGCTTAGGATTCCTATGCATGGTATTCCTAGGAATCTTAGGAATCCTAGTAATCCTAGGAAAATTGCAGGAAATTCCACTGCAGGTAATAGGAAAAGCCCATTGCGACAAACGGTTGTTTAATTTATGCAGAACGAGGAAATCCAATATCCTTCGTCTCGTTTTGAATCTCGTGAAAATAAAATAGTGCGATTAAAAATTCATAAAAATTATTTTACGAGTCTTTAGTGATTTGCAGGGCTTTAAAAGAGTTTATAATTTTATCATTAAAAGGTTTTAATGGCCTTCATGAATGTTTAAAAGCTTATTAAAAAAAAGATTATGACTCTTGATGCATACATTTGCAAATAAGTACAGGAAATTAACAAATTCAAGATGCTTTTGTATTGATCTTTAATATATTTCGATCAAAATGTCAATATATGAACAAAGTTCTCGAATAACTCAAACAACAAGTTGCCTTTTAATTATTCAAATGGTAGATAATGGAAACTATGTATAAAGAGCGAAGAAAAACATTTCACGGCAAATTATTCTATTTTATTTCGTTCCAAATTATTACAAATTATTTAAAACCAATTGCGATTCTCGTTGCTATTGCAGCTTTTCTTTAGCAATCTCTTGCTGCTTTCTTATAAGAAATAAAGAAAAAACTAATGAAAACGGTTTTGATAAAAAATGGCGCATGGCATTAGTTTAATTGAACAAAATTCCAGGCACAACACAAGAAACGATGAATGCAACAGTGATAATAAATGCTAATTTCTGCTATACTATACTTAAGCAATAGAGCAGCAAAAGCAAATGAGGAAATAAGAGTAAAAATGTTTAATCGCAAGTTGCGAAATTTTTTTGTTATGCGATGAAGAACGGAAAACAAAATAAACAAATTTTCGTAATTTTCTCTTTTTTCTTCTCAGCTCCACCACGATTTACAAATATCTGAAGAAATTGTCAGTCGAAAGGAGAAAAAGAAAACTTTAATTTATTTCAATGAATGAAACAGAAAATTTCTTATATTGTATCATCATTCCGTTTTCGTTGCTGGTATCCCCTGAATAATAAGTAGATACAAGGAAATGAAAAGTTTTTCTCAATAGTTAACTTAAAAATAATAACTTATTGCTTACGAGAATGAATGAAAAAAGTTGAATTTTATTCTTCGTAACACATTTTCCATTCTTTATGCTCATCTGAGTTTGTGTATTAAAAGCGAGTTTATCTCATAGAGACATTGTCCAACGATGGTCTACAGCGGATAAAAAATTGTGAATTTGCCTTCAAAAAGATTCTTCTTAAGACTTCTCATTATTTATTTCCGTTTCTTCGTAACATAATTTGTTATTGACGTATAATGTATGATAAGTCACCATAAAATGTAAATTGAGAAATTCACTTAGTTAGTTGAAACAAAGAAACGTTTTGTTATTTCTTGTAGACAAATTAAAAGTAAAAATATTAAGAAGGGAAGAATTTTTTAATCTCCTCTGTTGATAATATTTGAAAAACAGTTCCCAAATGAGGACATTTATAACAAAACAGATGTAGAAAAGTTACCTCATTAATTTTGAAGACTGCAAACATAAAGATAAGACATTGGCAAAAACAAGAATTAAACAAGCTCAAAACACTTGAGTAAATTCGCTCGACTAAGAAAAAAGCGAAAATTTTCACAGTTTGTCTATCATAATTCAAGTTTTGAGATGAAAGGACTTGTTTTTTTGAGTCTTTTTTTAATTTTTTGTGCTCAGGTGGGATAGATTATTAAAAATTTCGATATTTATGTATTTAATCATTGAAATCTTATTGTTATTTATGAAGTCCATCAATGGAGATTCGGATCTGGTTGTATCGAGTTCCCCATCGGAATATAGTTTAACTGAGTTAAGAATAGATTTTTCTGAGGCAGTGGCGGTTGCAGCTGACAAAGATTACGCAACGGATGAACTAGTTATTGCACAGGAAACTTCCGCAGTAAGTTTAACTAACTGAAATAGATACACGGATTCTTCACATTTTCTTTGTGATAGGGAATAAGTGGAACTATCCTAGAGCAACCTGCTGATGATGTCATAAATATGTATAATCTTGGTTTGCCAGCATCTTCTTCATCTCTTATGAATTCATTAGATTCAGAGGGTGTAAATGAAGAGGGCAAATGTCTTGGTGAAAGCATTATAGATTCAAACGAGGCTGGAATTGGAAAAATTTCTTACAACTTAATTTCGTTGTTGGCTATTACGACTGGACAACCTCAACAGTATGAGCCACCGTTTTATGCACCACATTATGACAGAGAATATCCCGAGCCAAACGCATGTCTTAATGAAGGTGCAACTATTGGATGTCAAGCTACTTCTGCTAGCGACTTTATAGACGGTTTTCTGCAAGACATTACAGACACTCTGGATGATTTTACTGACTACAGAAGAAGTGTAGCAGTCAACAGTGATTCTTGTGCACGATTAGATAATGCAGACGTCAATCCTAAATGGGAAGCTGTAAAAAATGAAATTAATAATTTCGTTGGTGTTGATAGTGGAAAATTAAGCGAACTTATTCTGCGCAATTCTGAAGCTGAAACGACATTATTCGAAGCAGTTGAATCAACAGAAAATTTGATAAACGATCTAAATGATTGTACTGAAGCCTTAGTTGAAGCTATTAAACAAGATGATATCGTACAATTTTATGGTTGTGATGATGGAATTGTCTATGAGGATTCTGGAGATTATGACAGCTGTAAAGATAGAGGCACTCAATATATGAATCTTCTTTATAAAAATTCGGTGACGAAATTCTTTCATAAAAGAAGAAACTTATCGAAGGAACAGAATGACATCTTTGACCGACTTGTTAGCAATATTTTAACTACACAAAGTTTGATTAAGCAGAGTTTGGATGGTTTAGAAAAAAATATTTTGAAAATATCGTATTCGAACATGGGACTCCGAGTAAGTCTTGATGGTGTCCATTCAGAGTTAGAAGAAGCATTTAATCAAAACTTTACTAATGACATTAATGAAATTACTTCAACTATTGAATCGGTTCTAGCAAATGTTGAAGATCAATTTAAAATAATACATTTGACTAATTCAGAAGGTATTGCAAATCAAGCATTAACTTTTGTTGAAGAAATGATTGATGATATGGATAAATATGCTTGCTGTACAAAGTTTATTAATGAAACAATTGAACTACAAAAGGAATTTAATTGCGACCTCGTAGATTGTTTTGATGACAAGGAAAAAGTGTTAAATAACTTAGCTTTGAGCACGACCTTGTATATAGAAGACGTTGGTAAAACATTCAATATATTGAATGAAGAGATTGACACATGCATCCGCGTAAAATGTACCAATAATATTTGCTTAAGAAGGCGAATGAATCCATCAGATTTAGGAAAAATGATGAACTGTATATCAGCAGTCAAACGAGATGTTGATGATCGCTACGTAGGTCTAAACTTACAAATGAAGACCTTGAAAGAAAACATAATTACCAATAGCAATGAACTGATTAACGACGCTGATGCATGTTCGCAAGAGAAAGCTCAAACAACCGAAAATTCTCTAAATAACATGCACGATATATATTCTATATGCAAAGGCACAAATTGCGAAACCACCACTACTACTACCACCGCTTCCACATTGCCGCTAAGAAGTTTGGAAACTCCATTAACTTTCAAAGCATCTTTTATAATGGACACTCCATTGGAAACGACAACAACTACACCTTTGGAAACGACAACTACAGCATTGGAAACGACAACAACTACTCCATTGGAAACGACAACAACTACTCCAATAGAAACGACAACAACTACTCCATTGGAAACGACAACAACCACTCCATTGGAAACGACATCAACTTCTCCGGTGGAAACGACAACAACTACTTCTGTGGAAACGATAACACCTACTCTTGTGGAAACGACAACAACTACTCCAATGGAAACGACAACAACTACTCCTGTGGAAACGGCATCAACCACTCCATTAGAAACGACAACTACTCCATTGGAAACGACAACAACCACTCCATTGGAAACGACAACAACTTCTCCGGTGGAAATGACAACAACTACTTCTGCGGAAACGACAACAACTACTTCCGCGGAAACGACAACAACTACTCCATTGGAAACGAAAACAACTACTCCATTGGAAACGATAACAACTATTCCATTGGAAATGACAACAACTACACCTTCGGTTACGACAACAACTACTCCATTGGAAATGACAAAAACTACACCATTGGAAACAACAGCTACTCCTGTGAAAACAACAACAACCACTCCATTGGAAACGACAACAACTACTCCGATGGAAAACACAACTACTCCATTGGAAATGACAACAACTACTCCTTCGGAAACGACAACAACTACTCCGTTGGAAACGACAACAACTACTCCGATGGAAACAATAACTACTCCATTCAAAACGACAACTACTCCGATGGAAACAATAACTACTCCGATGGAAACAACAACAACTACTCCGATGGAAACAACAACTACTCCATTGGAAATGACAACAACTACTCCATTCGAAACGACAACTACTCCATTAGAAACGACAACAACTACTCCGTTGGAAACGACAACAACTACTCCATTGGAAATGACAACAACTACACCTTCGGAAACGACAACAACTACTCCGTTGGAAACGACAACAACTACTCTGATGGAAACAACAACTACTCCATTCGAAACGACAACTACTCCGATGGAAACAATAACTACTCCGATGGAAACAACAACAACTACTCCGATGGAAACAACAACTACTCCATTGGAAATGACAACAACTACTCCATTCGAAATGACAACAACTACTCCATTCGAAACGACAACTACTCCATTAGAAACGACAACAACTACTCCGTTGGAAACGACAACAACTACTCCATTCGAAACGACAACTACTCCGATGGAAACCATAACTACTCCGATGGAAACAACAACAACTACTCCGATGGAAACAATAACTACTCCGATGGAAACAACAACTACTCCATTGGAAATGACAACTACTCCGATGGAAACAACAACTACTGCATTAGAAATGACAACAACTACACCTTTGGAGACGACAACAACTACTCCATTGGAAATGACAACAACTACACCTTCGGAAACGACAACAACTACTCCATTGGAGATGACAACGACTACTCCATTGAAAATGACAACTACTCCATTGGAAACGACAACTACTCCGATGGAAACAACAACTACTCCGATGGAAACAACAACAACTACTCCGATGGAAACAACAACTACTCCATTGGAAATGACAACAACTACACCAATGGAAACGACAACTACTTCGATGGAAACAACAACAACTACTCCGATGGAAACAATAACTACTCCGATGGAAACAAAAACTACTACTCCATTGGAAACGACAACAACTACTCCGATGGAAAAAACAACTACTCCATTGGAAATGACAACAACTACTCCTTCGGAAACGACAAACACTACTCCGTTGGAAACGACAACAACTACACCAATGGAAACAATAACTACTCCAATGGAAACAACAACAACTACTCCGATGGAAACAATAACTACTCCGATGGAAACAAAAACTACTACTCCATTGGAAACGACAACAACTACTCCGATGGAAAAAACAACTACTCCATTGGAAATGACAACAACTACTCCTTCGGAAACGACAACAACTACTCCGTTGGAAACGACAACAACTACTCTGATGGAAACAACAACTACTCCATTCGAAACGACAACTACTCCGATGGAAACAATAACTACTCCGATGGAAACAACAACAACTACTCCGATGGAAACAACAACTACTCCATTGGAAATGACAACAACTACTCCATTCGAAACGACAACTACTCCATTAGAAACGACAACAACTACTCCGTTGGAAACGACAACTACTCCATTGGAAATGACAACAACTACTCCATTCGAAACCACAACTACTCCATTAGAAACGACAACTACTCCATTAGAAACGACAACAACTACTCCGTTGGAAACGACAACAACTACTCCATTGGAAATGACAACAACTACACCTTCGGAAACGACAACAACTACTCCGTTGGAAACGACAACAACTACTCTGATGGAAACAACAACTACTCCATTCGAAACGACAACTACTCCATTAGGAACGACAACAACTACTCCATTGGAAATGACAACAACTACTCCATTGGAAACGACAACTACTCCGATGGAAACAACAACTACTCCGATGGAAACAACAACTACTGCATTGGAAATGACAACAACTACTCCACTGGAAGCGACAACTACTCCGATGGAAACAACAACTACTCCAAGGCAAACGACAACAACTACTCCGATGGAAACAACAACTACTCCACTGCAAACGACAACAACTACTCTGATGGAAACAACAACTACTCCATTCGAAACGACAACTACTCCGATGGAAACAATAACTACTCCGATGGAAACAACAACAACTACTCCGATGGAAACAACAACTACTCCATTGGAAATGACAACAACTACTCCATTCGAAACGACAACTACTCCATTAGAAACGACAACAACTACTCCGTTGGAAACGACAACAACTACTCCATTGGAAATGACAACAACTACACCTTCGGAAACGACAACAACTACTCCGTTGGAAACGACAACAACTACTCTGATGGAAACAACAACTACTCCATTCGAAACGACAACTACTCCGATGGAAACAATAACTACTCCGATGGAAACAACAACAACTACTCCGATGGAAACAACAACTACTCCATTGGAAATGACAACAACTACTCCATTCGAAACGACAACTACTCCATTAGAAACGACAACAACTACTCCGTTGGAAACGACAACAACTACTCCATTGGAAATGACAACAACTACACCTTCGGAAACGACAACAACTACTCCGTTGGAAACGACAACAACTACTCTGATGGAAACAACAACTACTCCATTCGAAACGACAACTACTCCGATGGAAACAATAACTACTCCGATGGAAACAACAACAACTACTCCGATGGAAACAACAACTACTCCATTGGAAATGACAACAACTACTCCATTCGAAACGACAACTACTCCATTAGAAACGACAACAACTACTCCGTTGGAAACGACAACAACTACTCCATTGGAAATGACAACAACTACTCCACTGGAAACGACAACTACTCCGATGGAAACAACANACGATAGTCAAATAAAAAGTTTTGAAATTAATGTGAATATCATTTTAACAACCGCAAATGACTTGGAGGCTCAATGGAATGAATGCAAATCAGCAACAACTACAACAACTGCTAGTAATGCTTTTAATTATTATATGATCATTTTTCATCATAATTTTCCCTTCCTTTTGTCATTAACTAAAACAGTGTAACAAGGAAAATTATGACGTCTGATTGAATAAGTCAATGTTAACTTCACTTAATGATATACTTTAATTTATTTATGTTCTCAGCTACCACAACAACTCCATTGGAAACGACAACAACTACTCCATTGGAAACTTCAACTTCAACAACAATTTCTACTAGTAAACTTAGTTCAATTAAGTATTTCAATTGATTAAAAATCATGAGTAATTTCAGGTACTACCGTAAATCCTCGCATCACTGAAATGATTAATACTTGCAGTATTATCATAAACATTGTCGTAAAAATACAAGAGGAAATGAAAAATACACCCGGAGACCATTGTGGCATAGATGAAGAAGTTTCCAAATTAGCTGAAGATACTAACAATCTCAGGATTCAAATTCAGATTGATGTATCTATTGACGACAGTCAAATAAAAAGTTTTGAAATTAATGTGAATATCATTTTAACAACCGCAAATGACTTGGAGGCTCAATGGAATGAATGCAAATCAGCAACAACTACAACAACTGCTAGTAGGACTTTTGATTTTTATATGATCATTTTTCATCATAATTTTCCCTTCCTTTTGTCATTAACTAAAACAGTGTAACAAGGAAAATTATGACGTCTGAATGAATAAGTCAATGTTAACTTCATTTAATGATATACTTTAATTTATTTTTGTTCTCAGCTACCACAACAACTCCAATGGAAACTACAACAACAACAACTACTCCATTGGAGACTTCAACTTCAACAACAATTTCTACTAGTAAACTTAGTTCAATTAAGTATTTCAATTGATTGAAAATCATGAGTAATTTCAGGTACTACCGTAAATCCTCGCATCACTGAAATGATTAATACTTGCAGTATTATCATAAACATTGTCGTAAAAATACAAGAGGAAATGAAAAATACACCCGGAGACCATTGTGGCATAGATGAAGAAGTTTCCAAATTAGCTGAAGATACTAACAATCTCAGGATTCAAATTCAGATTGATGTATCTATTGACGACAGTCAAATAAAAAGTTTTGAAATTAATGTGAATATCATTTTAACAACCGCAAATGACTTGGAGGCTCAATGGAATGAATGCAAATCAGCAACAACTACAACAACTGCTAGTAGGATTTTTGATTTTTCTATGATCATTTTTCATCATAATTTTCCCTTCTTTTTGTCATCGACTGAAACAGTGTAACAAGGAAAATTATGACGTCTGAATGAATAAGTCAATTTTAACTTCAGTTAATGATATACTTTATTTATTTATGTTCTCAGCTACCACAACAACTCCAATGGAAACTACATCAACAACAACTACTTCATTGGAGACTTCAACTTCAACAACAATTTCTACTAGTAAACTTAGTTCAATTAAGTATTTCAATTGATTATAAATCATGAGTAATTTCAGGTACTACCGTAAATCCTCGCATCACTGAAATGATTAATACTTGCAGTATTATCATAAACATTGTCGTAAAAATACAAGAGGAAATGAAAAATACACCCGGAGACCATTGTGGCATAGATGAAGAAGTTTCCAAATTAGCTGAAGATACTAACAATCTCAGGATTCAAATTCAGATTGATGTATCTATTGACGACAGTCAAATAAAAAGTTTTGAAATTAATGTGAATATCATTTTAACAACCGCAAATGACTTGGAGGCTCAATGGAATGAATGCAAATCAGCAACAACTACAACAACTGCTAGTAGGACTTTTGATTTTTATATGATCATTTTTCATCATAATTTTCCCTTCCTTTTGTCATTAACTAAAACAGTGTAACAAGGAAAATTATGACGTCTGAATGAATAAGTCAATGTTAACTTCATTTAATGATATACTTTAATTTATTTTTGTTCTCAGCTACCACAACAACTCCAATGGAAACTACAACAACAACAACTACTCCATTGGAGACTTCAACTTCAACAACAATTTCTACTAGTAAACTTAGTTCAATTAAGTATTTCAATTGATTAAAAATCATGAGTAATTTCAGGTACTACCGTAAATCCTCGCATCACTGAAATGATTAATACTTGCAGTATTATCATAAACATTGTCGTAAAAATACAAGAGGAAATGAAAAATACACCCGGAGACCATTGTGGCATAGATGAAGAAGTTTCCAAATTAGCTGAAGATACTAACAATCTCAGGATTCAAATTCAGATTGATGTATCTATTGACGACAGTCAAATAAAAAGTTTTGAAATTAATGTGAATATCATTTTAACAACCGCAAATGACTTGGAGGCTCAATGGAATGAATGCAAATCAGCAACAACTACAACAACTGCTAGTAGGACTTTTGATTTTTATATGATCATTTTTCATCATAATTTTCCCTTCCTTTTGTCATTAACTAAAACAGTGTAACAAGGAAAATTATGACGTCTGAATGAATAAGTCAATGTTAACTTCATTTAATGATATACTTTAATTTATTTTTGTTCTCAGCTACCACAACAACTCCAATGGAAACTACAACAACAACAACTACTCCATTGGAGACTTCAACTTCAACAACAATTTCTACTAGTAAACTTAGTTCAATTAAGTATTTCAATTGATTAAAAATCATGAGTAATTTCAGGTACTACCGTAAATCCTCGCATCACTGAAATGATTAATACTTGCAGTATTATCATAAACATTGTCGTAAAAATACAAGAGGAAATGAAAAATACACCCGGAGACCATTGTGGCATAGATGAAGAAGTTTCCAAATTAGCTGAAGATACTAACAATCTCAGGATTCAAATTCAGATTGATGTATCTATTGACGACAGTCAAATAAAAAGTTTTGAAATTAATGTGAATATCATTTTAACAACCGCAAATGACTTGGAGGCTCAATGGAATGAATGCAAATCAGCAACAACTACAACAACTGCTAGTAGGACTTTTGATTTTTATATGATCATTTTTCATCATAATTTTCCCTTCCTTTTGTCATTAACTAAAACAGTGTAACAAGGAAAATTATGACGTCTGAATGAATAAGTCAATGTTAACTTCATTTAATGATGTACAATTTATTTGTGTTCTCAGCTACCACAACAACTCCAATGGAAACTACAACAACAACAACTACTCCATTGGAGACTTCAACTTCAACAACAATTTCTACTAGTAAACTTAGTTCAATTAAGTATTTCAATTGATTAAAAATCATGAGTAATTTCAGGTACTACCGTAAATCCTCGCATCACTGAAATGATTAATACTTGCAGTATTATCATAAACATTGTCGTAAAAATACAAGAGGAAATGAAAAATACACCCGGAGACCATTGTGGCATAGATGAAGAAGTTTCCAAATTAGCTGAAGATACTAACAATCTCAGGATTCAAATTCAGATTGATGTATCTATTGACGACAGTCAAATAAAAAGTTTTGAAATTAATGTGAATATCATTTTAACAACCGCAAATGACTTGGAGGCTCAATGGAATGAATGCAAATCAGCAACAACTACAACAACTGCTAGTAGGACTTTTGAGTTTTCTATGATCATTTTTCATCATAATTTTCCCTTCTTTTTGTCATCGACTGAAACAGTGTAACAAGGAAAATTATGACGTCTGAATGAATAAGTCAATTTTAACTTCAGTTAATGATATACTTTAATTTATTTATGTTCTCAGCTACCACAACAACTCCATTGGAAACGACAACAACTACTCCATTGGAAATTTCAACTTCAACAACAATTTCTACTAGTAAACTTAGTTCAATTAAGTATTTCAATTGATTAAAAATCATGAGTAATTTCAGGTACTACCGTAAATCCTCGCATCACTGAAATGATTAATACTTGCAGTATTATCATAAACATTGTCGTAAAAATACAAGAGGAAATGAAAAATACACCCGGAGACCATTGTGGCATAGATGAAGAAGTTTCCAAATTAGCTGAAGATACTAACAATCTCAGGATTCAAATTCAGATTGATGTATCTATTGACGACAGTCAAATAAAAAGTTTTGAAATTAATGTGAATATCATTTTAACAACCGCAAATGACTTGGAGGCTCAATGGAATGAATGCAAATCAGCAACAACTACAACAACTGCTAGTAGGACTTTTGATTTTTATATGATCATTTTTCATCATAATTTTCCCTTCCTTTTGTCATTAACTAAAACAGTGTAACAAGGAAAATTATGACGTCTGAATGAATAAGTCAATGTTAACTTCATTTATTGATATACTTTAATTTATTTTTGTTCTCAGCTACCACAACAACTCCAATGGAAACTACAACAACAACAACTACTCCATTGGAGACTTCAACTTCAACAACAATTTCTACTAGTAAACTTAGTTCAATTAAGTATTTCAATTGATTAAAAATCATGAGTAATTTCAGGTACTACCGTAAATCCTCGCATCACTGAAATGATTAATACTTGCAGTATTATCATAAACATTGTCGTAAAAATACAAGAGGAAATGAAAAATACACCCGGAGACCATTGTGGCATAGATGAAGAAGTTTCCAAATTAGCTGAAGATACTAACAATCTCAGGATTCAAATTCAGATTGATGTATCTATTGACGACAGTCAAATAAAAAGTTTTGAAATTAATGTGAATATCATTTTAACAACCGCAAATGACTTGGAGGCTCAATGGAATGAATGCAAATCAGCAACAACTACAACAACTGCTAGTAGGACTTTTGATTTTTATATGATCATTTTTCATCATAATTTTCCCTTCCTTTTGTAATCAACTAAAACAGTGTAACAAGGAAAATTATGACGTCTGAATGAATAAGTCAATGTTAACTTCATTTAATGATATACTTTAATTTATTTTTGTTCTCAGCTACCACAACAACTCCAATGGAAACTACAACAACAACAACTACTCCATTGGAGACTTCAACTTCAACAACAATTTCTACTAGTAAACTTAGTTCAATTAAGTATTTCAATTGATTAAAAATCATGAGTAATTTCAGGTACTACCGTAAATCCTCGCATCACTGAAATGATTAATACTTGCAGTATTATCATAAACATTGTCGTAAAAATACAAGAGGAAATGAAAAATACACCCGGAGACCATTGTGGCATAGATGAAGAAGTTTCCAAATTAGCTGAAGATACTAACAATCTCAGGATTCAAATTCAGATTGATGTATCTATTGACGACAGTCAAATAAAAAGTTTTGAAATTAATGTGAATATCATTTTAACAACCGCAAATGACTTGGAGGCTCAATGGAATGAATGCAAATCAGCAACAACTACAACAACTGCTAGTAGGACTTTTGATTCTTATATGATCATTTTTCATCATAATTTTCCCTTCCTTTTGTCATTAACTAAAACAGTGTAACAAGGAAAATTATGACGTCTGAATGAATAAGTCAATGTTAACTTCATTTATTGATATACTTTAATTTATTTTTGTTCTCAGCTACCACAACAACTCCAATGGAAACTACAACAACAACAACTACTCCATTGGAGACTTCAACTTCAACAACAATTTCTACTAGTAAACTTAGTTCAATTAAGTATTTCAATTGATTGAAAATCATGAGTAATTTCAGGTACTACCGTAAATCCTCGCATCACTGAAATGATTAATACTTGCAGTATTATCATAAACATTGTCGTAAAAATACAAGAGGAAATGAAAAATACACCCGGAGACCATTGTGGCATAGATGAAGAAGTTTCCAAATTAGCTGAAGATACTAACAATCTCAGGATTCAAATTCAGATTGATGTATCTATTGACGACAGTCAAATAAAAAGTTTTGAAATTAATGTGAATATCATTTTAACAACCGCAAATGACTTGGAGGCTCAATGGAATGAATGCAAATCAGCAACAACTACAACAACTGCTAGTAATGCTTTTAATTATTATATGATCATTTTTCATCATAATTTTCCCTTCCTTTTGTCATTAACTAAAACAGTGTAACAAGGAAAATTATGACGTCTGATTGAATAAGTCAATGTTAACTTCACTTAATGATATACTTTAATTTATTTATGTTCTCAGCTACCACAACAACCCCAATGGAAACTACAACAACAACAACAACTACTCCATTGGAATCAACAACAACTACTCCATTGGAAATAACAACAACTACTCCATTGGAAACAACAACAACAACTTCATTGGAAACATCAACAACTACTCAATTGGAAACAACAACAACTACTCCATTGGATACGACAACAACAACTTCATTGGAAACAACAACAACTACTCCATTGGAAACAACAACTACTACATTGGAAACAACAACTACTCCATTGGAAACAACAACATCAACTTCATTGGAAACAACAACAACTACTCCATTGGAAACAACAACAACTACTCGAATGGAAACAACGTCAACAACTCAAATGGAAACTAGTAATTGAATATTATTTTATAGATTTCTATGTTCCCAAATACTATTTTTATTGTTACAGCTTCAACTACTGTATTGAAAACGACTACCACTTTGCCAACTACCACAACAACAAGTAATTATTATCTGTTTGATCACATGATGAACATTTTAAATCCTGAAAATGATTAATTTCGTTAATTTGCAGTTGATGAAGATGAAGCCGCTCGTGATGAAGTTTATGTGCAAGTTTCAGAAAATCTTCTTGAGGTCAACGAGTTGCAGAACATAGTTGAAAATTCTGAAGGAGATACTTGTGGATTGGGACCAGAAATTTTTACTTTGTTAGATAGAATAAACTTTTTCATGAGTATATTGAATACTTTAAGCAGTGGTGAGGTATATCAAGAAGGAAGTGAAATCAATGCGGAGACAGAAAGATTGAACAGTGAATGGGAAACATGTTTAAGTACAACGTATACATGTCCATATTGTTGGGAAAATGAGTGGAAAACTACAGGATTTTTCCTTGCTGCTTTTTGTCCATTGTGTCAACCAGTTGGTCACTGTCCCGCAGGTTCACATATGATTCAGCATGACTATGGATTTTGGGGAAAAAAATGCTGCTGTGAACTATCTTAAGGATGCAAATATGGATATTCATCCATGTGAACTTCTCAATATGCAATTTGAAACTTTCTTAATTTTGTAACATTTACATCAATGATGTCACAATTTACAATTTGCAATAAAGAAAGTTAAGAAGATATTAGTTTGCGTTTAGATTACTTTAAATCTAAATTTAAATTTGCCTTGTCACTCAACACCTCGTCTTATTTAATGACAAAAGAACAAACAAGAAAAATGTATGCAGTTTTACAAGGTATGAAAGCAGTTGTGCAAAATTAAATAATAAAACTTTGAAAACAATTAAGTAAGCCTCATAAGATAAACTTCAAGCTGTCAAAGTATCAGTAACTCTTATCAAGAACCGACTGATTTTATTTATTATATTTTTCGCGCTTCTTTTTCTATTCAGGTAAATAAATGTTGCTCATGTTTTTTCGGCTGGTGTTCTTAATGCATTCACTGAGTGCAGAGGGCTTAGAAGCAATTTGTTTTCTTTTTGTATCTGTTTGATTGTTATTGTTCATGCTTAATATAATTTGCTTTTTAACTTATTTTTCTTTTTTATTTTTTCAATTTAGCTTTTCATTTTTTTCCTTCAGATAAGTATGCAAAGTTCAACTTTTATAAAAAGGTAAGCGAAACCTAAAACTTTAGAAAAATCTTACATACCATACCTAATTTCATTCGATTTAGTTACATCAGAAAAACGAGTGGTTCTAAACGGGCTCCCCATGTGGAGCTTCCCCATCTCCAATTTATTTATTAGAAGTGTGTGAGCTAATGTGTACATATAGTATGAGATTAAGAACAAATGTGCTTTTCTATGATATCAAAGCAATGAAAGCTTTTAACTCAATAGCTTTTTTTTTAATTTTAAAATGCCGTTAATTTTTTTGCCGTTCTTATAACTTTAATCATTTCTACAAAATCTTAATTCTAGTTTTTATTAAGAAAAACTTTAAAGATAAACCAAGATTAAAGGGTAAATTTTAGTAAGTCGCCATAAAGTCTTTAATGTGTTTAATTTGACGGAAAATTATGCAAAAATATATTTTAATCAATCAATTAACACCTTATGTAAATCGATGTTTATTTTTGCCCGTTCAGCGAAAATTTGTACTTCAATTTGTAGGTGTTTTAAATTAAATTGGCGATAATTGAAAGAAAAATGATGAATCGCAGGTACTCAAGTAACAAAAGGAAATACAGATTTCGTTGACCTAATAAAATGAACTTGTGTGTTGAGTGAAGATTAATTTTATTTAAATTCTTCAGTTTTTGTTTAAGTATTTATGAAATAAAAAATTTTGAAGACCGTTGCAAGACCGAATTTTAATGAATCTCTTCGACAAATTCATCTGATGATTAGAAAAAAGCTTTTCTAGTGATTTTCAAGTTAGCAACAGTCAAATGTTTCATCAATCTAACAACAATGTAATCATAACAATGCTTCCATTATGCATTAGGTTAATGGCTTCATTTAAGTTTTATCCGTTCTCGAAGATCTTATTTAAATGTTCTTGCGCCCTCAAAGCATAAATTTAAGTTTGCGGTTTATTTTCATCGCCGATTTAAATTCTTTTCATTCAATTTCCAATTGCTTTTTCGTAATTTCATATTCATATCTGCATGTGTTTATTTATATTTTGCCTCACAGAGTTTTATTTATGTTGATTGACTGATGATTGTTAAGTTTCGAGAATATTAAATTTTATTGTAATACGTGATGCAAAGAAGAAATTATTTGGCTTCTGGAGATAGGTCAAGTAGAAGGATATCAAATGGATACAGACAGGAAATTGTGGAGCAAACTTAAATCCAATTACAATTGGAAATTCTACCATGAAATGGAAGTATAATCAGCAAAATTTCTGTTTTTATTAATTGCTAAATTTGATATTCCATGACGTCAAATAAAAATTGAATGCTTTGAGTTGTTGTACACGAATGAAAATGGAAAATCAAAAAACGAATTCAATTTTTGCTTCTGTAAGTGAAAATATTTCTATAAATTCAGAAGCATTTTAATTAAAGTTCTTAGTTTGTTTAAAATCGTGGTATTGGATATTTTTGTTGAATTTGTGAAGAAGAAAATTAAACTTTGAAATCATGAAGGCTTTTCTTCTTGCTGTAGTCTTAACGGCTTTGTTTCTGACACAATCATATGCTGCCCCTTCGGAACCAATAGGTGAGATTAAAGTAGTTTTGGAAGATATTAAAAATGAAGCTGAAGGCAACAAGACTATTGAAGACTCCACTCGGTCAAAAAAAAGTCCAGCACCTAAAACTGTGTGCCAGCAAATGAAAGATTCACAAGGTATCTCATATTTACAATGTTCAGATGACTTGGTTTCTCAATCTGCAGATTCTGAGTCAGCTGGTTCAAGCTCATATTCATCCTACTCGTCCGCTCCCTCTTCTTATGGTTCATCCTCAGGTTACAATGCACCGCAGCAGTCATACAAGGTACGTGAATAAAAAAAATTATTAAACAATCAAATCCCAATTTATTGATTTTGATTGTTATTAGCCCGAAAGCTATGGTTCAGGAGGTTCAAGCTATTCAGGATCTTCTAACAAAGTTAGTTCAAATTACATAATTAAATCTAAAATAAAATTAAAATATTTTACAGCCTTCAAGCTATGGCGGTTCAGCTCCAGCGTACGCAATGCAATCCTATAAGGTAAATGATTTAAATTTTTTTCAATGGAAATAAAATGTATTTAATGAAATTTATTAATTTATAGCCAAGTTATGGGCAATCAGCACAATCGTATTCAGCTCCAGCTCATGCTGCCTATTCAGCACCAGCTCAATCTTCCTATTCAGCTCCAGCTCATGCATCTTACTCAGCTCCAACCCAATCATACTCAGCTCCAGCTCATGCGTCCTATTCAGCCCCTGCTCAAGCTTCCTACTCAGCTCCAGCTCATTCTTCATATTCTGCACCAGCACAATCCTACTCAGCTCCAGCTCATGCGTCCTATTCAGCCCCAGCTCAAGCTTCCTACTCAGCTCCAGCACATTCTTCATATTCTGCACCAGCACAATCCTACTCAGCCCCAGCTCATGCGTCTTATTCAGCCCCAGCTCAAGCCTCATACTCAGCTCCAGCACACGCTTCCTATTCAGCTCCAGCTCAATCCCATTCAACATATTCTGCAGCTGCTTCTTACAAAGTAAACATTTTATCTCATTAACATTACGACAAAAAAATAAATTTTAAATTTTGTTTCAGCCAAGCTACAGTGCGTCATCATCATCATCGTCATATGGAGGTTCCTCGTACTCTGTCCCTTCACACTCTTCATACTCCGCTCCTTCTTCTCACAAGGTAAGTTCATTTCACATATTCGAGCTTAATTTATTTCGAGTGAAGCCTTACCTAAAAATTACCAAATAAAATTCTTTCGTCTTCTTTATTTTAGGCTACAAGTTACGGTGGCTCAGCATCATCTTATGGTGGCTCATCATCTTCTTATGGTGGCTCATCATATAAAGTAAAAAGTGAAATTTATCTACAAATAAAAATATTCTTCAAATTATAATTTATTTGCAGCCTGCTCAATCTTATGGCGGTGGTTCTTATGGTGGTGGTTCTTATGGTGGCTATCGGGAAAATCAAATGGGAATGAGATCTGCTTATGGTTCATCATCTGCCTCATCGTACTCTCAAAAACCTTCATATGGATCTGCTAACATGGCACCTGCTCAATCCTACTCATATTCCTCGCCAGCTCCAACAATGCCATGCTCGAGTAATTTGATGTTCAGCTGTGACCCCCAAGTAGCACCAGTTCCTTGTGGTGCCGTTTCATATGCTCCATCAAAGCCAAGCTATTCATCCCCAGCAGCATCATATCAGTGAGATTGCCTTTAATAGCCATATTATAATTTTAATTTATTTAAATTTCATATCAGTGCCCCAGCAGCCTCTCATAGCTACTCAGCACCAGCAGCCTCTCATAGCTACTCGGCACCAGCAGCACAATCTTATTCAGCCCCAGCAGCCCCAAGCTACTCAGCACCAGCTGCCTCTCATAGTTACTCGGCACCAGCAGCCTCTCATAGCTATTCAGCACCAGCAGCCCCAAGCTACTCAGGACCAGCAGCACAATCTTACTCAGCCCCTGCAGCCCAAAGCTATTCAGCCCCAGCAGCCCCAAGCTATTCAGCCCCAGCAGCACAATCTTATTCAGCCCCTGCAGCCCAAAGCTATTCAGTCCCAGCAGCCCCAAGCTATTCAGCCCCAGCAGCACAATCTTACTCAGCCCCTGCAGCCCAAAGCTATTCAGCCCCAGTAGCCCCAAGCTATTCAGCCCCAGCAGCACAATCTTACTCAGCCCCTGCTGCCCCAAGTTATTCATCTTCAAACCCTGCTGCTTCCAGCTACAGACAAACCGAAGCGGAAAATGATTCTCCAAACACCAATTTACCAACACAACCAAGCTCAACATTGGAGGATGATGTAAAAAAAGATTGGTAGATATTGATAAACATAACTTATCTCAGCGAGATGATTACAATAATAATGACTAACAGTGAATTTTGTATGCAAGAAGTTTAAACTTTAAAGCAAACTGACATAATAAAGAAATTGTCAAAAATATTCACAAAGTTTTAAATTTATTAATGTTTACATATTTCAATATAAGAGAAAACTAAGGAGAAAACAATTTTCAGCTTCTTCTAAGAATTTTCGCACAATTTCTGGAATTTTGACCATCCATCACTTTATGATTTCATTTAACTCATAATCTTAAACTTTAAAATTAGGTGCCATAAATTGGAAACAGAAAAATCAAAAGAATTGATTTAAATTGATTACATGATTGATGATCCATTGTCGTATATTTAATCGTTCAAAATGTGTTTATCTTTATGATGATGCTGGTTTCATACCAACCATCATAATATTTTATTACTTTTAAGGTTTATTTATGAGGAAGAAAACATTAAATTTAAATGCACTAAACATAATTAAGAGAAATATGATCATGAAATTGGAAAAGTCCAGACAATTATTGTGACACAAAGTACTTGAAATCGTTTATCAAAATCAGGATGATTATTTATTTAGTCTATCTATGTGACATTATATTTTTGTTCCGGTTATTTCACTATTAAATTTTACACTCTGATTTATTGCTTTGAGAAAATTGTAAATTTGAATATCATTCAACAATAAATTTTCACAAAAATTAGAAATTTCATTTCGATTTCATTGTCATTTGCATTCAAGAAACTGTATTTTAAGGGTTTAAGTACTCCTAATTCATATGTCATTGAAATTATTTTCAAAATCAAATAATCAGGAAGCAAGGCATGATTAAATAAAATACGAAACTGCCTGGTGAGGCTCAATCATCTAAAGCGTGCAACATATGTAAAAATTCTTAATTGCTTTATTTCTCTAAAAAACCAGTAACATAAAGGAAAAGTTGCTGCGAAAAGAAGAAAAAAGAAACTAATAAATCAAATGATATCATCACGATCACGCCTTAATGCTTGTCTTGTAAATTTATATTGAATATGCTTCGCAAAAATTTGAACATTTAAGCTCCCTATTCTGCTCTTTCATTGTTCGTCAGCATATTTTATTTTCAAAAGAATGATGTCCCAACTTCATTTATTCTTTAAACTTTTTTATATTCTTATTCGCTTTGCAAATTACATATTTATGTGCATTTGCTAAATTTTAATGGCACAGCTTGTATCAGTAATATCCATTGAAAATTGAATGGTTTTATCTTGATCATTTTTTCTTCAAAATATTTCACATTGATACTATGTATGTTGATATGAAATATGAAAAAAACGTAGATCTAATTTATAATTGATTCATTCGTGTCATATCCAAGTGTTATCTATAAGATATCTAGACCAATTAAAAGTAAGTTTATATCAGTTAGTGTCTTACTTTGTTTCATATTTGACATACATCTTATGACTAGATTTATGATAATCCAAAATTTTATAGTACGAAGAAATCTGGTAGTTAAAAAGTAACAAAAAATTTCAACCGATGATGAATTTATGTGAAAACGAATATGCCAAATCCATTAAAAATTTTAATATAATTCTTTGTAAGTTTATATTGTGCAAATAAGTCAAATAAGTAATAAGTTTCAATCTGCAAACGTAAAACATTTGAAATATTTCTGTGAAAGGTTTTGTCATGTAGTAATTTGTCATTAATAACAAATAGACAGAAGAATGCTGTAAACTGAAATAAATCTCTATTTTAGCATTAACAGTATGAAGCATTCTTATTGATTTGTGTCACGTTTCTTAAAACATGTGTTCATTCTACAAAAGTTTAGAATTATTAGTTCAATAAATAAGCTCATGTTCCCCACCTAATTTTTTCACCTAACAACACAGTTTAATGTGATACCATAGTGAAGTTGATTCAAAACAATGTTAACCATGGTATTGCTTCCAGTTGCAATGAATTTTTATGTTCAAGTTCATGTCACGACTTAATATCTACTAATAATCATAAAATAACTTCATTTTGTCAAGGTTCGGTACATTATCAGTTTCTTTCATTTTCCTTCGTTTTTTCAGCAACTTTTTTAATATGCAGATATCTGAGCACTTGTACAAATATCGGTAAATCTCTTAAAATTATTACTTAAATATTTATTTAATTTTATTCTATGAAGAATTTAATTAAAATCCAATAGCTGCAACTGTAAGAAGTGGTAATCCGCAAGGTAATTCATATTCATTCTAACATTTTCAAGTATCATCGCTCAATCCAATCGTTCAGAGAGAGTTCACTGATCTTTTTACATTTATATGAATGTCTCTTCTAAGAGAACGAACGACTTTTCTTTCTCTCGCAGTATCTTTGTGTGGAAAATGAAACACATTTTGAAGCTAGAAAAAATCGCGCATCGCTTTATTCAGTTTTCGTTGCGATTAAGATGCGTTCGGTTGTCTCTAAATTTCTGTTAGAAGAACTTAGAATCGCTCTTTGTCAATTATTTATTGCCAAGCAAAGAAAGACTAACTGAATTTAGCAAGGAATTGGGAATAATAAGAGTTAATGGAAAAATATTGTAGTACATATAAAAAGATATTAAAATAATTCACATTCATTTAATTATAAAGAATGTTATCAATGTGAAGAAATGTTTGTTAAAGATTTCTTAAAACTTTTATCACGGTTTTAAATTTTATGTTCTCATGAATTCTGGCAAAGACAAAGCATGTGACAATTAAGAAACAAAAGTTAGTCAAACAGACAAAGCAGTGGTGTATTGAAATTTGAGTATTCAAGTGATATGAAAACTTTTCATTGAATGAAATAAGACGATAAGATCGTTGTAGATATTACACACATCATATCTGTTATGATCCAATTACTCACATTCCTCCTGTTCATGATATGTCGGTGTTCTTCATACGTAATATGTGAAACATAAATGTGAATACAAAACGTTGTTTTTAAAATAGATCTTTGTGTGACAAATTTGAAATCTTTAATGTTGGATTATGACAATTTACATAAAAAAATAAAATCGTGAGAAAAGATTAATGCGAAATAAAATGGCAAGAATTACAGGAATTTCATTGTTCTTAACATTTTTTTGCTTCGCACAATCTTTGATACAACATAACAGGATAAGATCATATCATAAATTGCGTCACAAGCATAATTATAACCATTTCAATGATGAGCAGGTTAACGAAATACGTCACGCTTTTGAGGATTATATAAAAGTTGTTCAACATACAGAATCTTCATTAGGGACTTACGAAAGTGAAATAAAATTGAGATCGCCAGAGCGACATAGTGAAAGAGGTGTGAATAAAATTGATGATTTGACATCAGTAGCAGATGATAGCCAGCACTCAGAAAGCGAAACTTCAGTTGCTGTTTCACTTTGGAAAAATCCTTCAGAAAGTCTTGAATTATCGCGGAGAAAAAATGTTCATGCTGCGCAGTCAAAAATGAAATCTGAATTATTTTCAAATAATTACGATGAAGAATATGACAATGAGGAAGATGAAAAAATCAACTCGAAAGCTAATTCTGGTTTAAAAGTGCATGTAAGTTAACAATGCAAAGATTGACCTCATAAATAATTTCCAGAAGAGAAGAACTCGTTAATTTAAAGCCAATTAGAGATCACTCGTTAAATTGATTTCAATTGATTCGTAGTGATTCAAGTCATCGATTCATTTGAGATGAAAATTAGCTGAGTAAATGCATTAAGTGAAGGTATGCGTTCGATAACCCTTCTTACCTTTAACAATGCAAAAAGCAATTTTTTCCCTTTCAAACAGTTTAAATTTGAACTTCTTCTTTATAAAATGATACTTCAAAGGTGATTCTTAGCGACACTTGATGCTTTCATTGCACAATTTTAAAATTTTACCTCATCGACAAAAAGTTTTATTTTTAAAGATTTTTTTGATTTACGTCCTACAACTTTTAATGTTTTTGTGCGGCTGTCTTTGCGCTTTAAGATTTTTTTGGGTCATAAGATTGTAAGACTTAAAAACAAAAACATAAAATCTAGTTGCAGAAAGTTTTTCTGTAATGAGAAAGAGATTATTAGAAACTAATTGAATATTAAGAAGAAGTTTACAGAAATGTATTTATGCAATAAGCTCATACAAATGAATATTTACTTGACAGCCTACACAATTCACCATTGTGTGTCAACAGTGAATTTTTAAGCTCTTGAAATCTCATCTCCGTAAAACTCATAATTCAATTAACCCTTTTAATTTGATTTTGATTTGCCACCTCTCTGAGAGTCAAAATGTTACGCAATTTATTTCGTCGTTTTATGTTTACGACGGCAGCTAATTGACATTGACATTTATAAAAAAAGTTGGGGTTTACGACTGGAATTTTTTCATTCAAATGTTTAATTTCATTTCCCTTATCAGCCAATGAAAGAATTAATGTTTCATAACAGATGTGGAGTAGAAATTTGATGACAAGTTTATGAAAACTATGAATCATTTTGTTGACAGGTTGTTCTTGTTGTATATCGAAATATTAAACATTCATCAGTCAGGGTAATAACTTTTAACATAAATAGAAACGCTAGATATTTATTCATGACACAAAACATTTCTCTCGCTATAAATATAAGCAACAAAATCATTACAATTTATTCTGAAACAACAAAATTTGCATTCCATATCGACGGTCGCTTCCTTCTTGACTATTTTCACAATACTGTAAATCAATAAATAAGTAAAGTATTTAAAAACGCATTTAAGTTATTGCAGTTAATGCAGAAAACACTAAATAATGTTGAGTCATAAGCTGTCGCTTTCATTGCAGTTCAGAACAGAGATTAATAAACTGATACAGTGTACTCTCAATATACATAACCTATTCAAGATTAAAGACACGACCAAGGATATTAATTACTTATATTTCATTATCGTATCAAGTTAAATATTTTCCTATCACAATCATTCAATCACTGAAAATTCATTTCGCGAAGAACGTTCTATGTGTCATGAATATAAATAAATAAATCTTCAGCATAACTAAATTATAAATTTTCCACCATAATTAATATCTTAAAGATGTAATTAACCCAGATATATGTTAAATCTCTTAAATTTGTTTCTGAAAATAAGAGAAGTTGAAGAATATGCTAATGCTTATGAAATATTACGAAGAAGTCAGGTCCGAGACGTCAAAGAGTCTACAAACACGTGTCTTTATTAGTTTAAGCGTAAATCGCACTCCTAGTTTTAATGACATTATTTTTTGCCATTAAAATTTCTTTTTCATTCTATTTATTCACCAGCCGGTTTCGCTTTCATTCTATACTAAACAAAAATGTATAAATATGCATCTGGAAGCGATCAATTCTACGTTCTTCTCTTGTCATTCTTCTTTTGCCATTTACCGAGCATTAAATGCGGAACGAAATGTAATTGCATGAAATTTTCTACATTCCTGATATTTAATTCCTTCTTGAATTTTATTCATTTAATTTTTATTTTGTTATTGCAGGAGACCAGGGAAATTCCAGTCCATTCATTGACAGATTATAAACTGACAGCATTGGCAACAAATAAAAACATTAAAAAAGTATTCAAACAAGAATTTTATGGTCAACAGGAAATTTACAATAATTATGATCAAGGTATTTGATAATTCAAGTTTCCAAATCGTGCGCATACTTATAACTTATTTTCTTATTTTTAAATCTGAGTGAATATTTCTGATATGCATCAAGGCTTTTCATATTTTATGAAAATATTTATTTTAATATGCATGCATGATCGTGATGACACTTCAATTGACTTAAAAATGAAAATGTTAGCGAATGTTGATGTTGGAAATGTTTGATCAATTTAGAGTTTTAAATGCATCAATTTCACGCTTTTATTATTCATAAACATTGCCTAACATATTTCAAAAATCAAAACTCCTTCGCTGTAACTTGACTTTTATGTATCTATCAGTCAGATATGTTTTTATGCTTAAATAAGTTGTTGATATAAGGGAATTATTGTGATCGTTTCATTAACCAAATTGACCGCCTTGAAGTTTCAATATTTTTTGAATTGATCATATAAAATTTCATGATTATTGTGTTAAGTTTTTGCTTTGATAACTTTCTCTTAATTGTCTATGCTACCCACCAACGCTTACATTACGACTCGAGCATTTCTTAAACAATTTTTCTTCTCCCTTTCATGTTAATATTTTTAGCAACAATCTTCAAACAAATTCGTGAGAACATTATGCGAACTAAGATCGAGGGAAAGTGTCGATGGCCTCACAAAAAAGTCATTGAGATACCTCAACAGCCATCGAAAATATATACGCCAAGAAAATATGTCATCTATCAATGCAGTGAAGAAACAGCGTGTTGTAGTTCTAATGAAAAAATCTGCGTTGCAAAGAAATATGAAGAGTTAACATTGTGGTTTAATGTCAGATATGTAAGTAAATATTTGTTTATCTTTCCTTTCGAAAACTATCAGATCTTCATTGATTGATTGACAAGTCAGACCACAGGAAGAGACTAATTACGATGAAATGATTTTTAAAGATTTCTCATGAACATAAAAAAAGGAATTTAATCAGAAAATGAAAGTAACAAATAATCAAATCGTGGCAAACTTATAGCTTGATGTTTTAAATTATAAGAAAATATTTCAGATGATTACTCTGTCAGGCACACAACCTGGTCAAAAAAGACTTTTCAAATTTCCGATTCAGGTTTAAAGAAAAATAAGTAAAGATGACTCGACATGATTTGTTTTAGGTCCAACCTAATTTTGATCTGACTTAGAAAATAAAATAAAATCTTGTGAAGGATATTCGATCATTTCTAAATAACGTAACCTTGTCTTATTTACTTAAATAACCTGTATTGATTTGAAGTTTCCTTAGGTGTGTGACTAAGCCCACTTAATCATATAAAAAGATAATTCAAAATTCATTTCAAACATTCATTCATGTTTTCGTACACTAAAGGAAATAAAAAAAGAGATGAAAAAGACTTAATCATCAAATGAGTGTGTTTAATGACGCGTGGCGTTATTTGGATTTATGTTTGAAATGCCACGAAAGTAAAATTAAAGCAGAAACGTCGAATGAAAACGAAAGCATATAAAGTCTAAACATGATTCTCAATTTTTGAATGCATGCAAGCATTTTAGATTTGTTTTTCATTGAGTATCGATGTTAATATTTTTCCTTGATTCCTGTTGAGGGAAATTAATTGATTCTTCCAAACATTTTAATTGTTTTTGCATGGTTCCATAAAGTTTTTCAATCGAAAGCAAACGATAAATCAAACTTCACGTATTCGTAATTTTGTTCATTTTTTATACTCTTTCAGATATTTTGTTTATATCTTTTTTCGCAAAAAGAAGTAAAAATCATTTCTTTCTGATATTTTATTCGTTTTTATCAATATTTATAAGAGAAAAAGTCTGAAGTCGACTGAAATCGTGGTTCTTTGTAGTATACAAAGTGTTTTGTTCTGAAGTCATGATCTTTCGGTGATTCTCAAAGGTTGCAGAATTTACTCACTGTTTGAAGCATTCAATACAAAGTAAAAGCCTTTGAAGTTAAAATCTTAATTATTTCTTTCTTTAAGACAAAAGAAATGCGTGCAAAAAATCCACAAATTGACTTATTAAAAGCACTTAATTTACGATTAAGATTAATCGTTTACATTCAATATATGGAAAGATATCTTTGTTATCACATGCATTGCCAGCATTTTGTTTTTGACCAAAATTAGGTCAAATTGTGATGTAAAGACATTAAAAATTTAATTAATGGCATCGTCAACATTAAACTTTCATTTCGTTGTCTCCAGTTAAATTTAATCAGAAAGGAACAAAAAAAAGACATAAAACAAATATCTGCTTGATTACAATAAATGATATCAAAAGAAAAATTCCGAAAAAAGCATGTCGAATTAAAAAGTCTAAATTGATTTAGATACATCTACATACAGCTACATATGCAGTGGTCAAAATTTATTGACGGTAATAAAATTAAAGTGAAGTTCTTTTGTTGCATTGTTTCCTTTGTCTTTTACTAAAAAAATTGTTGAAAAATTGTCGTGATGTGTTCCATAATTTACAAAAATCAGACATTTATATGCAAATTTGTTTGCGTGACTTACTTTCAGTCAGCAATTTGATATTATCAGTTTTTTAATAAATCTTAATTATCTAATTAAATATCTTCTTAAACAAACTTCCGGTAATTCTTAGCTGAGTTGAATATTTTATCTCTGGTGATAGCATTCATGTTGCAATTTCTCTCTTTCTTCTTACTATTTCTCTTTATTAATTTGCATAAACCTAGACGATAATTTATTATGAGTTTACCTATATTTGCATAATTTATAATTATCAAGAAAATAAATTAATGGGATTTCTTTTTTTTCTTTGTTCATCACTCTATAGGTCGGTTCAACTGGTTATGAATCATTCAAAGTGCAGAACCATACGGAATGCGAGTGTGTTTATAAAAATCGACAAAGTACAATGCAAATGAGACAAGCAGAGACAGAGAAAAGGCTACGAACGTTGCCCTATACAACAACAAGGAGACCTAAACCCTTAAAATGTAAATGTCCAACATTTTTTGATGTAGAAATAACTGACGGAATGTGTGGATGTTTCTGTAAAGATAAAAAATTTGAATGCCGCAAACGATACGAAGGTCGGGAAGGTTTCACATTAAGTGATCAAAGGTAATCTTTTCCCATTGTTTTAATCTTCAAATACGAACATTTAACTTGTTTTGAATAATTCCCAGATGCATCATTCATAAGATTTGCGAGAAACCGCATTGTTTGTATCCACCTGGATATTCAACAGACATTGGACGCTGCCCAGATAGACATGAGAAAATTAGAAGAGGATTTCTCAGATCTAAATGACTTAACAAATAATTTTAAATAAATGTTACTATTAAGTACTTAGATTTAAAGTTGCAATGATTTAATTGGAAAGTTTTTCTTACCATAATTTGACTTATCTTAGCTGTAAACATCTTAGAGATATTTTCTGTGATATTAATGTTCATGTGATATTCGTTTATGCCAATATTTTGAAGAATAAATTATAATTTTTCTTTCAATGCGAGTACGAGGACTCAAGAAAAAATCTCTGCTCTTACTTTAACTAAATATCAAATGTTTTCATTCTCTATCTCTCAATGAATCTCTTTTTATGAGTATTTCGTTGAAAATGAAACAAAAATTGTTTTCATTTTCAGTTCGTGTTGTGCAACAGACAAGACAACATGCGTTTAGTGCTTTCTGACATATAAAATCGAATTATTAAGTGAAATTGTTCAAAAAAATTTCAGTTCACAACTCATTGAGAATTCTTAGAAATTGCTATTTAATGAACGAAAAGAAATTTTATTTTTTTCATATGCCTCAATGGAAAGCTGAGAAATGCAATTATTACTGAAAACCAGAAGAATCATAAAAAGTGCATAAAATTCTGTAATGATTCCTTTAAGTTTGCTCACATAACGAAATTTGCAGATCACAGCAACAAAAAATAAAATAATTCAGATTCTGCGAGAGACGAAGTGAAACAAGAAATTGGAATAACTGATCATTGTCAAAAAAAAAGCAAATAATGGAAAACGGAAATAAGTTTTAATTCAATTAATGTTGTGGACAATTTGAAATTCGAATTAATAGAAAAAAAGTTTTGATAATTTTAGTGGGGAATTCAGTAAACAGAAAAGGTGAATTTGTGATTCTCATTGATGTCGAAAATGAGATGAAGCTTCTTACGAACTGTACAAGCATTTACAATTGCTTATCAGTGTGTCACATGTGTTGTGAGTTGACCTGATGGTCCCAAACTCTGATTCTTAACTGTGATGATAAAGTTTTACTCATGCAATTTTTTGATGTTTTATTAAAACAAGTGAAATTATAAAAAATGCTGCTATTAACTCATACACAAATCTTAATCATCACTCTTATGTCACTTGCTTCAGCAGTTGTGACTACTCATCATAAAGCTCGTCACAAACATAATTTGTTAAATTTTCGTGGCAATGACATAAATGAGATTCGAGAAGCATTTGATCAATATCGCAGTGTTATTCATAAAACAAAACTGCATGATAAATTAGAATCGATTTCAAGTGTATATGATGAAGACTCCATCAATGAACATGATTACGATTTTAAAGCAGTCAAGAAAAATATGAAGTTTGACGCTAGAAAATCACACGTGTCGTCAACTGGATTTAAAAATTATCCCGCAATTGATTTAGGATCAAATGAAATGTTTGTAAGAAATAAAAGAATTCATACATCAACGAGACGAACTACAACCACAGTTAAGTCCATTGATAATTATGATGAAGAATATGATGACGATGATAATGATACAACGAATCGGCGTCTAAATGATGATGCACAAGCGTCTTCTTTGCAGCATAACAACAAATATGTAAGTTTTGGTCTCTTCTTTTTTTCTATTTTGTAGGGTTAATTAAAGTTAACTTAAGTGAATCGACGATTTTGTGCTCATTAAAGTCATTATACCATTAATGCGTGCATCACTCTGCCTACATCCATATTTTGCCTTAAAGGGGAATAAATAAAATATTCAATGATGATTTTTTCACTGATTGACGTGGGTGGTTTTAAATTTTGTATGTTAAAAATCTTTCATTTGTTTCTATCCAAAAAGCTACTATAAATGCTGGAAATGTTTCTGCAACATGTATAAAATATCCGCCAGTTAGTTTTTATGATGAAGTAAAAATACTTGAATATTGTAAAGTCATTAAGTTTCTTGTCACTAAACAAATTGCTCATTAATAAATCATTTGATTAAATATTACATCGTGAGATGTAGAGATGATTCGTAATTCTATTTTAAGCGACTTTCTAAAAGAAGCAGTCTGGAGAAGTGAACGAGTATTTCGATAATTTATAGTTAATATTGAACTTTCGCCTTGGTTGTGACGAAAATTTTTATTTCAAAATAGGTATACAGAAAAGCAAATGAAGACATTTAAATAGGATTAAAGAAATTTCTATCAACTTTGATACTTTTAAAAGTATTTACCTAATTCATTACTTAAATAGATTGTCAATCATTAGTTATTAACTATCAAATAATTTGTGTGAAAAGTTGATTATGAATTAATTGGTAAACCTCCAAACTGCATATTTGAGTTTTAAATAATTCAAAGTAGAAAGTTTTGAATTCTGTAAGTTTTTTTTTGATTGAGCGAGTTTTGCTTCCAATGAATCAGTTAAAAAATCAATAAATCATAATCTTCATTTTAAAGCGTTCGAAGAAGATGATCATAACAACACTTCAATGAATCATTTTACTTTCTTATCAATTTAATTTCATCCGTTTAATTCTTAGGAGCAGCTTTCAAGTATTAACAAGATTACACAATCTTTCACGCTTCTTGTTAAATATCATTTCGAAATAAAATTATTCATGACCTTGCTGAGCTCATAACACTTGAAAAAGAAAAGAAACTCCAAATATTTCAAAAGAAAGTCATATCTTGGTTAGTGCATACTAGAATATTCATTTTTTAAATTTTTCCGATGATTAATTTTAATTAACCATCTGGAAGTAATTGAAGTAATCGAATCGAATGAGAAAAAAATTCAATGCAATTTTGATAAAACTCGATGTATCTGGAATCATTTCTTTGACTTTCGCTCAAAAGGAATTCCTGAATAAAAACATTTTATGGATTTGTTACAACTCAAACATAAAAATGTTTTAAAAAAATGATAAATAATTACAATGGAAGTTCCTTCATCAATTTCATCAGTTTACTTTTTCTGTACAATTAAAGGATTTTAACTGTTTCCATTTTACATTTTGATAAGATCTTTCGCTTTCTTTATATTTGCTCAACATCTCTTTCCTGAATGTTGTTTACAGTTGAGAAGCTGAGAAAAGTTCTTTCAATTGAAGATAAGAATGAACAATTATCTTTAGTCATGAGAAACTCTAAGAAAAAAAGATAAAACTATAAATTAAGCTGATAATTTAATATGATTTAGTATACCTTTCAACTTCCTTTCAGCTGTCTGATAGCCAGAATCATCAAGAATCTGAAGGCGAATCGTTGACAGATTTCAAAATGAAAACTCTTGGCACCATGGAAGACGTCCGTAATAGTTTTCAGCAAGAGATCATTAAACAACAAAGAAACAAAGGACAAGGTAAGGTTTTGTGTTTGAGTTCGCTTTGTTTGTAGGCAAAGGTAAGTTTTTCATAAATTATTTCATTACAGATGTTCATCATCACATAAGACAAAATATCTTGCGACTAAAAATCGATGGAATGTGTCGTTGGCCAAATAAGAAGTTGATTGAGATGCCACAGTACGCCCATAAAATGTACACACCTCGAAAGTACGTGATTTATCAATGCAGCGATGATACAGCATGTTGTGGATCCAGCGATAAAACATGCGTAGCAAAGAAAACTGAAGAAATTGTTTTGTGGTTTCATGTCAGATATGTGAGTAACAATAGCAACGAGATAATTCCCCGCAATATTTAATTTGGGTCAACAGAAGAAGAGCTCATAAATTGAAGTCTATTAATTGGACTTAACTCATATACATAACTCATATAATGTCAGACAGTTTGTCTTGACGATGAAATATTGTATCAAAGACCCTAAAATTTACATAATAAATATATTTCAATAAAAGACGAACAGTCTCAATGAACTTCCTTCTTTTTACAACTCTTCTAGGTAGACTCGACTGGTGTCGAACCTTTAAAAATTCAGAATCACACTGAATGTGAGTGCATATACAAGAACAGACCTGTAAATAATCGAGGAACAAGAATTGCTTACTCATGGCCATTACCAACAACTTCTACTACGACACAATCGCCCGCTTGTCGATGTCCAAGTCATTTTGAAGCAAATATTGACGACGGAAATTGTGGATGTATCTGCAGAGACATAAAACTCGAATGTCGTCAGAGATATGAAGGCAAAGAAGGTTTTACGATTAGCGATCAGAGGTTTGTTAGTTGATTAGCATAAAATATGGTTGATTATCTTTTGCAATTCTTTTCTTTCACAGATGTATCCTCAACAACGAATGCATTCAACCTCATTGCCTTCATGGTGTTTATTCAACAAGCAACGGGCGATGTCCAGACAAAAATGATAAGATCAATAAAGGCTTTCAAGGTACGAGATTCGTACGGGAAATATTTTGAAAGGAAAATGCCATGGCTATGGACAATTAAATAGCAGACATGCCTCATAAATAATTATTATAAAGAGCCTCACATTATAGATATTTTTGATTAATTATCTTGAAATGCAATCTCTGGAATGAAAACAAGAAAAAACATACACACAAAAAAAAGTATTCTTTGATTCATGTTTGCAACTTCCAAAAAGCCTTTATTGTATTCTAGTCATTTATTAAATACGTTAGGCATATTTTAATTAATAACATGTAGAGCCTTCGTCTAAAATAAATAATAAATAAAACTTTGAGCAAACATAAGAAAACACAACAGAAAAAACACGCAATGAGAATCAAGCAAGAACTAGTCGTATGAAATATGGATGTAATTTCTACTTATGTTATTAAAGTTCTTTGGAAATACAAATAATTACGATAACAACATCAACATTAGGACTTGTAAATGAACAAATTGCATATTTGACATTTGTCACTATGTGTGTACATTCTTAGATTATTGGATCGCATGAGAAGAACACGCTTTTATGTTCAACGATAACATCCCGCGTCTGTTATTTATAAGCTCGAACGATGAATGAATTGACTTGCGGTCTTTCAAGTCGTACTATTTAAATGTAAAAAAAGAAGAAAATTAAAATATTCCGAACGATTTCTTTTCTCTCACACATGTTGCGTTTCAATTTTTTTTTAAGTTCTCAAAGTTTGTGTCGTCTGTTGCCAAGCAATAACAATTAAAGTTAATGTCTTTTAGATGATGAGGAAATAATTTTATCATAAGAGAGTTAAATTTGTTAGAATTAAGCGAGCTAGTTTACGTAATAGAAGAATAAATGGGAAAAATTATCAAAATTCGTTTTTTTTATAAATATTTGAAAACGGAAATTGTATTAAGAAATTTATTTTTGTTTATTAATATTTCTTTTAAAAATAAGTTTAGAAGATTTTCTTTTGTAAATTATACTAAATTTACAAGTGCTGAATATGAAATAGAAAGATAAATGATATTTAGATGTACCAAGATGACTTCTTCGATTCCAAACTGTCTCCTAAAAACAAGAAGGAAAATTAATTTTAGACATCACGTTCAATTTTGAATTAATTATTTTCATTCAGTTTATGAAAAAAGGAGCTAAAAATGATAACTCATAAGCGTGGGTAACTGTCAACTGTCAACAATTCACCTTTAACTATCGTATGTGAGTTATCCTTTGAATGAAATTATATAAATGTTAAGAACTCACGATCATGACTAGCATATCCACTGCTACTTCTGTAAGTGCCAATACTGAAATTACTCATGTCGCTCTTTGTACTTATAACGCTGCTTCGATTGCTGTCTGGTATGTATTGATGTACTCTGTTCATCGAAAGTTTTCTCACATTTCTAATTCTCTCTATAATTTAAAAAAAAAATTTTAAATATTATAAATAATAGGTAATTAAAAGTTAACAATCTACCTTCTTTCACGAATGTCATCAGCATGCTTGTTATTATATTTGCCCATTCGGCAGCAACGCTAATGTGGGATCGAAACTCAACTTCTTTTTGTCCTCGCTTTTTCGTGAAAAGTTTAAATTTACTTTTCCCTTCTTTATAAATTATTCCAAGTTTATTAATTTCGATATGACCACGATATTCCATATATTCACGAGCGAGTGCTTCAGTGTACACAACACATCGTTCAAACAAAAACACTTTACCCCTAAAACGTCTCCGCACTTCCCAATCGTAAATATCGAACTCATTCAATTTTATGAATTTTCCTTGACAAAAAACGTCAATCTGAACAGGTAAGAAATGAAAATTTTTATAATAAATGTTTTTAGCAGTGAAAAACCACATCAACAATTTACCTCATAACAATTTCGAATGTCATTGATGCTCATTGATTCATTAACAGTATCAAGCAATCTCTGTACATTTTTCTCGGCCACACAACAAGCAGCTACAGCTTGCTTTGTATTCTCTAAATCTTTCATTAAATCCTTTATTATTTCGTTCAAAAGAAGCTGATATCTTGGTAATCTTTGTATCGGTTGTAGAAGAAAACTGTTTATCCCAAGACGATCTCCACATTCATTTTGAATTTGCTAAAATTGAATTTTGTTATTGAAATTCATAAAACTTATTAAAGTTTTCAAATGCTTTTCACCTTCCAGAAATCAACATGATAGTTACACAATAATTCAGAACGTTTTCTGTTTATTGCATAAATAATATAACCATAGAAAAACCCTTTAGTTATAAAGCTTGTGAATACTTCAGCGATTTGCTCCGGATCTTCGCCACATTGAGTTAAACGTGGTAGAAATTCATATTCATGAAACTCATAAATACTTTTTATATTAGCAAAAATACGAAGCTTTTGACCACGAAGAGTTCTCGGAATATCTTTTTTGTTGAATGCTCCCAAGTAGTTAGAAACACCATTTCGTAACGAACGACAATAATTCTCTTCATTCTCGAGTAGTTCACGTACTATGTTGAAAAGTTTCGATTGTGAAGTGCTAAAAAAAAGGCGAGATGAAGCGGAATTATAATAATTTATGGGATTATCAGTTACTCAAAAATGTATGTGAACACTCACTTTGAAGTTTGTGATATTAAGGAATCTGGTCGAGATACACTTAAAGTTTTAGTCATTCTTACAAAATCCCCATCGTCTAATGCCGATTTCATTATGTCACTCTGATTACTGATGTAGAAGTCACTCTGATTATTATCATCTTCTTCTTCCACTTTGTCAATATTATTTGAGTCGTTAATTTCTTCATAGCCGGGATAATTTAAAATAAGATGTTTTTCTGGTGATGTTGGTGATTTTATTGGTGTTGCGGGTGTAACTTTTAAAATTGTTTTATCCTTAGAACTAGAGCTTTCGCTCGAGGCTTGGCGTATGATTAATGATTGGTTTGAATATTGATAAGATACGTTTTCAAGTGAAGAACTGTGAGAAAAATTATCATGAGTTTTGGTATCATCTTTACTTGCTTCTTTTTCTATGTTTTCATTTAAATCTTCTTCTTCTAGCCACCAATTACATTCTGAATGAAATTCTTTCTCTTGTTCTTTTGCAAGAATTTCAAAACGTTTTCTAAGACGTTGAACATAAGAAATTTGATAATCTCGAAATGATGACGTAATTGACGATTGTGATTCATTATCGTTATCTACAGAAATTCCACTATCGCGAGCTTCTTGTGCCATTTTTACTTAAATTTTATTTAGTTCAAGATTTATTATTATTTTCTCTTTTAATTTTCTGTTTGTTTTGGTAGAATTTTATTTTCAATTGTTTTTATTTTCTACAACAACTTATTTTCCTTCATTTATATAATATTTTGCTTTTTACGTCTACCTTTGTACAATTCACACTTTCAACTGCAAAACATTGCTTAATAATTTCTTCCACTCAATAATTGAAAACACCAAGAAAAGCGCTTCAGGTGTGAAAAAAAATATTATGTGTGAATAGAGAATGTATTTAAGAATAAAATATTAATGATAAGTTTAGAGGTGTATGCATGTACATATGAATGGAGAAAATTAATTGTGAACGTGAGAAAAAAAATGATAGATAGGTGTAAGGTAGAAAACAAAAGGAAGCTAATCAATTAAGGTGTTGTCTAAAAAATATGTGTTTTGCTAAATATTTAATATTATTTATTTCTGTCGAATCTGATAGAATCAGTGCTCAAAATCCCTAAAAACAGTTTATTAAATCGATCCTAACATGAATTGTTTTTTTAATCAAAATTTAATGATTTTTAACGGTTTCATTTAAAAGTTCGTTTTTGAACCGTTGACGTAACGGTTAAAATTTTATCCGTATCTAGTAACATGCCCCTCTTACATGTAAATAATTTACGAGAAAATTTGGGTAAAATGATAGAAGCAGCAAAAGTACTTTAATATCTCTAATTAAAGTCACGACTACTAGATAAAAAAGTAGATTAAATGAACCGGTCTGCATAATCACCTGTTTCTTTTTATTAACACACGAAATGTTTATTTAAGTGTTAAAAAAATTAGAAATAATATTCAGCAGATCTAATATCTGTTAAAGTAATGAGAATATGCGGTTGTAGTGAAGTTAAAGAGAAAATACTCTAGTGCAAAAGTAAATATTATATTCAGTGGAAGGCATTAGCATAACATTGCATGTTTTGGACATAACTTTAAAGCGAGAGTTTAAAACGGAAGAGACCCGATGACTTTCTTAATCTGATCATTCTTGAGATCTTTACGTTTCGTATTTGTGTTACCCATTCAGAGTAGACCACATATGATAAGGATTCTCAGAGAAACAGTGAATCAAAAGAGCGAAAAATGATCAAATGACATGTTCAATAGAGCAATACAGCGAAAAAAACTATAAAACAAAGTGCTTTCGTTGCAATCGGTTAGTTTTCTGTTGACTGCTTCGTAGTTAAGTGTTATTATTTCTCGTACCTTGATTTAAATCCGTGTTTAAACATCCCATTAAAATCATTACTGCAAATTCAAGCTTGCAATTGAAGAAAAAATTATAAATTTGAAAGAAAATTGTGAAATAGTTGAAAATTTGAAATAAAAAGAAATTGATTTTGAAATCTCGACAGTGCGTGTAAGAAGTGGTTTAATCAAACATCAAAGCAAATTATCGGATATTCAAGTAAAATAAATAATTTATAATCTTGGACCGAGATATATTAACTACTCAGACATAAATCGAAGGACGTGGCATTCTTATTGCTCTTACAAAAGCTTATATCGCATTTATTAAAAGCTTGAAACTTTTTAAATCTTCTAACGGGAAACTCTTCTGTGGACAAAATGTGTGGTGAGTTATGTATACATATTTAGTTATGAATAAATTATTTATAATTCTTGACAACAACAATTTTGCAATAATTTTCTTAACATATCATAAAATATGTTTTTTAAGCTTTGCTAGTTCGATATTATTAAAGATTTCTTGTTTTATATTTTGAATTAAAATAAACCTGCAAATTAATGACATGTCGGACGGAAATGTAGAACAACTTCCTGATATCTTAAAAAATTAAAAAAGTTGACATAGTCTAATATTTTGTTGTGAAGTGGTTGATAAGGAAAGAACAAATTTGATATTTTATAAAAGTTGTGAAAGATTTTTTTAAATTCTTAATTCTAGCGATACAAAAATGTTAAAAACAAATTAACGGCGTGATAATGCTGTGGCTTGATGAAGCTTGTATCTTCATAAGTTTTAAAAGTGAAAGTAGTCAAACCAGATTGTCATCAAATTAAGATAAAAACGCATTCGAAATTTTGGAGCTTTCCTTCATTTAACTTACCATCGAAAAAGAATCCAAATTAATGCTAAATATTTTTGTTGACATCATAAAAACGTTGTAAGATGATAGTTCAAAACAAATCTCTCTTCGATTATTTTCTCGATATCGTGTTTAACTCCGATTGCATAACTTTTCTTACTTTTTCATTGCAGTTATTTTCTCTCTCATAACATTTTTCTAGTTTTTGATTTGTTTTAAGTATCTAAATAGATACTTTGTAAATCTAATATTGTTGCCAATAAGTCTCGATTGCAAAATTTAAAGTAGATATTATATTTGTTTAATTTACAAGACTTTTCTACATACTTACATAAACAGATTGAAATTGAAAGTGAATGAAGTCTGAGTAACAAATTTCAAGTTAATGTTTATAAACATAAAACAGTTTTACTCTATACAAGCATCAGAAATCATCAAGATTTGTTCAGATTTTTAAGAGTTACGAAAAAGTATTGCAATAAAAATGGAAAGGACTGAAATGAAAAGCTCACTTTTGAAATTAGACTTACGATTATGCAGACGCCTACATTAGTTTTTGAGTTTTAAAAGTCTTGAGAAAGTCAAATTCAAGTTTTAATTTCTTTATTATTGTTTGATCTTTTACCTGTGGGACTGCAAGAAGGTTATTGCGCTTTAAATTTTAAAGCCAGATAAATTCACAATATGTTCAATGACATAAAATGTTCCCAACCCTCTTATTATACCATTTTTATATGTCTGCATGTTGCATTATATTCATGAGAATCTCTCCTTCTTTGAATATTTTCAGCAAGCCACAGACAGAAATCGAAAGCATTATTTATTGTTACGATACTCTTTCGTAAAATCTGCTTATTACTCAGCGATGTATGTGGTGTGATGATGTACTTAGAAAAAGTTGTTTACCTTCAAAACTTTCTTTGGTTATACCAGTTATTTATAAATAACTTCCCATGCAAAGCATTTGCATATTTTATTTGAAAGCTTTTTATACATTAAAAGCTTAAAATTTGAATAAGAATAATTTCGAAGAATTGCACAAATATCTTCAACTCTTTTAGGCAAGTAACAATAATTTGTCGTATAAAAATGTCACAAAAGAATAAAACCTGATCTTGACCTTCAAAAACCAGCAGCATAAAAACTGATATTTAAGTTAATATTTATAAAAGAACCAGATTTATTTTGCTTATGGTGCTTTTTTTTAATTCTCGTGGTGATGCTTTAGGTATTTTTGCATACTTAAACTACATGACGCCGAAAACACGCCGTGAGGTTCTGGAATATCTAGTCACCGGCTTGAAGCGTCTTGAGTATCGTGGATACGATTCTGCTGGAGTTGCAATTGACAATGTTGATTCGAAAGGAATTTTGTTGATTAAGCAGACGGGAAAAGTGAAGGTTCTTGAAGATGCAATTAGGGAACAAATGGTGGACCATGACCTCGAAACCCCGATGACAACTCATTGTGGAATTTCTCACACACGTTGGGCAACCCATGGAGTTCCTAGTGACCTCAACTCTCATCCTCAGCGATCAGATATTGACAACACGTTTGTTGTAGTTCACAACGGAATAATTACCAATTACAAGGACGTGAAAACGTTCCTTGAGAAGCGTGGCTACGTTTTCGAGAGCGATACTGACACGGAAATCATTGCAAAACTCATTCATCACTTATATATGCAACGTCCAAGTGTTTCTTTTCGCGAATTGGTTGAACAGGTTATTCAACAATTGGTACGTTGTCAGATTCTCGTATTAATGAAAAAGACATTTTTTTAACTACTTTAAGATTTTATTTGTTAGGAAGGAGCTTTTGCATTAGCTTTCAAGTCAAAATATTTCCCTGGTGAATGTGTCGCCACGCGTCGTGGTTCGCCATTGCTTGTCGGAATTAAAACCAAAACACGTTTAGCAACTGATCATATACCAATTTTGTATGGCAAAGGTAAGCATGCTTGGTCTGCAGCATTCCAATGAGATCTGAAGCTTCACCAGTCTTCTCTGTTTGCGTAAATATTTTTAAAATCTCTCAGAGTTTAGAAAGCTCTCTTCAAAAGTTTTTGAAAATGATTCCGAGAGTGAATGATAAAATCGTTTTGTTGCATAATTTATGTATTTGTTGAAACTGAAAATCACCGACTTTGAATTGTGATGGAAAATTTTGTTTATAATTTAACAAATTTTAAAGATGGGAAATTAAAAAATGTGTGATGTCATCTGATTATTTATTAAGACCAGGCCATGGAAAGTTTTTGGATTATTTGAAGAGGTTTACTAGGTTCTGAGTGAATAAAAGTGAAGTTGTCAGTTTTCTCGTAGGTAGAGAATGTCATCATGAAAAGTACAATTTTTTTCAATACATTCAGACTGAATTAAGTTTAAATATTGACAAAGATATTGTTCTCCTGTTTAACAAAGATAATAGTTTATAATCTTATACATAGAATCATCTCTTATAATCCGATCAAATTCCAAACCTAATTTAGACTTTTAAATCTGAGCATGTTTCATTTTCTTTAATAACTTTAATATTGTGAACAATCAAACATGATCACATGCAATTGATTGCTTACACTATTACTTTTCCAAATTATTAAAACTTTGCATCAGTAAATAAAAATTAATTGTTTTGTGTTGTAGATTTGAATAATAATTTTCTTTCTTCCTTTTTTATCCCTTCTTCCTTCACCTGGATATCGTACCTGACCCATCAATTGATCCTGTTTCCTGATAAATTAATTGTTTTCATACTTGTATGTTTTGATCTAATCGATATTTTTGATTGACTTTGTACGAATTGATATGAATAGACGAGGATAACAAGAAAGGTAGTGTTTATGTTCATAAATTAAATATCATTTGGTAACATAAGAAACACCCTAACATTACAAAACAATAAAAGAAAGATGCAAAGAATTGAAATTTACTAACAGATTCATAGGATATAAAATATTTTTCGAAAGAGTTGCTTCCATTGTGCCATAATTAATGAAGAACTCTCCTCAATAAGTATGTACAGATTGGCTCATCAAATTTCCATAATTTTGAGTTTGAATTTCAATACATTTTGGTCCATTAACAATATTTTTATTTTACTTACCTACACTTACCTCAGATATGTCTGTTTTAAAAACTTTTAAAAATAATATTTTTATCGTTTATTTGACACTCATAAACGAATATAACGAAACATTTGTACAAACCTGTAAATATCTACACCAAATGCAAATTTTAACTGGATTACTCTCCTCGTTGGTAATTTAACTCAAATTAAAAAAATAATTCTGATTTTTTTTTATTACCTATTTCATGAAATTTTGCATTACTTTTACATATTTATTTTGTTATCTAATTATTTTAAACAATGATTTTCGTTATCCTATTGAATGAAATTATAATTATAGTAGATACATAATTTATAAATTTATTTTTTTATTTATCATCGTCTTCTCCTTTGATCCGTTTTCACAATCCATAGTAGAATCTGATGTTCACACAGGTAATTTCTGTTTATGTTTCTTTAGTTTCAATATTTAATTATCTAATTTAACATATTTTGATACTTAACAATACCAAATAAATTCTTCTCTATGGTATTGCTCTTAGCAAGTAACAAGGTGGTTGAAATTATTTATTACTTCTGAATCTAAAATGGTTTCTTTTGTAAGCTTACTTCAAACATAAAGTCATTGAAAGGGAGTGCAAAGAACTAAAACATTCTCTTTTTGTATGCTTTATGATTACCTCCAATCTTTAATGAATGGATTTAAAAAATTCAAGGATAATTCAGACCAATTCTTGATAAGTATAATTATTATTTTTATTTGAAATTGTTTCCTGGTGGTATGAAAGTGAATGATTTGGTGGTTATTGTGTCTTATTTTAAAAAAAAACTTTATCAAGGTATTTTAGATGGAGTTGGATAAAAACAATTTCGAAATTATTTTCCACTCTTTAGCACAACTTAAAGAGTTTTGGTGATGGAGGAAATTATTTCTTTTCATTTTGATTGTAAAACTTGTTTTAATGAACTTTTTCTTTCCATTTCAATCAGAACATCGGCCACATGGTCATCGTGACGTACCATTATTGCCACGAACTGACAGTACATCTGAGTTTCAACCTCTCGAGGACAAAGAAGTTGAATATTTCTTTGCGTCTGATGCCTCTGCTGTCATTGAACACACAAATCGCGTCATATATTTAGAGGTAAAAAGAGAACGTGAAACTTAATTCCGTATTAACTTTTGTACTGATTGATCTCTTTTAAGGACGATGACGTTGCAGCAGTCAAGGATGGAGCTTTAAGCATTCATCGTTTGAAGAAGACCATGGAAGATGCATTAGCACGAGAGATCACCACTCTCAAAATGGAAATTCAACAGATCATGAAAGGAAATTACGAATATTTCATGCAAAAAGAAATTTTTGAACAGCCGGAATCAGTCATCAATACAATGCGAGGTCGTGTGAACTTTGTCAATCAAACAGTAACTCTTGGAGGAATTAAGGAGTACATTCCAGAAATTAAACGTTGTCGTCGACTCATGTTGATTGGATGTGGTACGTCCTATCATAGTGCAGTTGCCACTCGTCAGCTGTTGGAAGAATTGACTGAACTTCCCGTCATGGTTGAGTTAGCCAGCGACTTCCTTGACCGCAACACTCCAATTTTCCGTGATGACGTTTGCTTCTTCATCTCACAATCTGGTGAAACTGCTGACACTTTAATGGCCTTACGTTATTGTAAACAACGTGGAGCTCTCATTGTCGGGATCACAAATACTGTCGGTAGCTCAATCTGTCGTGAATCACATTGCGGTGTTCACATTAATGCTGGTCCCGAAATTGGTGTCGCTTCAACGAAAGCTTACACATCACAATTCATATCTTTGGTGATGTTTGGACTTGTCATGAGTGAAGATCGAATTTCTTTACAATCTCGACGAAAGGAAATTCTCATGGGATTAACGCAACTTGATAAACAGATCAAGGAAGTTTTGCAGTTGGACGAAAAAGTTCTTGAAATTGCTAAGGGATTGTTCGAAAAGAAAAGTTTATTGATTATGGGACGTGGATATAATTTTGCTACATGCATGGAAGGTGCTTTGGTGAGTTTTACATAAGTCAAATATAATTGAAACAGAAAAGTTATAAAAATAAATTGCAGAAAGTAAAAGAGTTGACTTACATGCACTGCGAGGGAATAATGGCTGGAGAATTAAAACACGGCCCACTTGCTCTTGTTGACGATCTGATGCCAATCGTTATGATTGTTATGCGCGATGGTGTTTACAATAAAACAATCAATGCGATTCAACAGGTTAAAGCACGTGGTGGTTTACCAATTGTCATCTGCGAACAAGGTGACAAGGAAACCGAGCAATTCGCCAGTAAAATCCTCGAAGTGCCAAAAACGGTTGATTGTCTTCAGGTAGGCTCTCAAATTAATGAAAATGAACAGATTTTAATTTTTGTAATCTTGAACTGTTTCAGGGAATTTTAACAGTCATCCCAATGCAGCTTTTATCTTATCATATAGCAGTACTTCGTGGTTGCAATGTAGATTGTCCAAGAAACCTTGCAAAATCGGTCACCGTTGAATAAATTTGATAAATTTTCCACCAACTTATTTAATAACTTTAAAAATTCCAAGTTGTTGATGTTTGATTGTCGTTTTTATTTTTTTGACATTCTATTTTTGTTTCTATTTTTATTTATGCATTGAAATTTATCACTTCAATTATCGTTTTGAAAACTTTTTCATATATTAATCTTTGCGAATTCAAAAGTTGATACATTTTCTGGAGGATTACGTACGCTGATTGAGATAAATATTTTGATTGGATTTTTTTTTACAATTTAAACTCAAAATTATTGTCAATAAAAATGAAGTTATTGAAATATATTTTTCCTGTGCTTTCAAACTTAATAAATACCTAATTCTTTTTTGTAATAAAATATAAAAAATACATAAAATGGAATAAATGAATTAAAACTTTTTATCACGTCTATTTGTTTGAGTTTAAATTTCCTTCTTAAACAAAAAGAACTTGGAAAATTCTTTTCGTTAGACAATATTTCAAAAATAAACTGCTTAATATTTATTAATCCCGAGCATTCTTCAATTCTATCATCTATTTTTTCACAATATAGGTAACAACATTAATAAAGGCTATACATTCTTTTCATATTTAAAACTTCATGGCATAAAATTATTAAAAATCAATCAAATTATTTAAAATATTTTCTACCACATTTTCTCATTTCTGCGAGCACAGGATTTTCCGTTCTTTTACCAAAATAACTTCGTTTCATTTTCTTTTTCTTAATTTTACTTGTTGTACCAATGACCGGAAGGCTGCAGTTTTGTCCAATTTTGTCTAATGACTTTTTAATGTATGAATCATCAACGACGTCTTTTTTTGTCATAAAAATTCCCAATGCTGAAGATATGTCAACGTTATGCTTCGATTGGTGTTTTTCACTTTTAAAGCATCGAGAATGGCATTTGAATGCCATAAATGTATCTTTTGATTCTAAGAAGTTTCCTTCCTTCTCTTTAAAATCATCTCGTTTCATATTTAAGTTTTGTGCATAAAAATAAGATTCAGGAGACAAATCTATATTGAATGAGTCACTCGAATCTGAACCTTGAATAAAACTTTCTTCATAATCGGTTGTAACTACTTTCATTCCACAACTCATTTCTAAAGCACTCATAAAATCACTCCCTCTAATGAATTAAATAAAAATACTTAATTTTTTCCTTAATTGACTTAGAAAATATTTAATACTTAGTTTTTGTTTTATTTTTGAGGGAAGTTTTAAAATGTTTAATTGATGAACTTCAGGTAGGTATTTAACTTCAGTGAAGTGAATGATCACACACAATCTTAATTTTTTACCTTTTCTCGACTTAAATAAAACAAATTTAAATTTTCTTAACAATAAATTATCTTTAACAATTTATGAATGCAAAGAACTATAGCTATGTCTGTCAAGAGAAGAGAAAGAACAATTGTTTAAATATAAGAAAAAATGCATTAAAGGTTATCGGTCCTATCTGTTGTCTATTCCATTATCTATTATTTTGAGAGAGTGAAAGAGGGATGAGAGAGTTGAAGTAAAATAAAAAAAATTACAGGTAGTGCAAATAATTTGGGGAATTCATTAATATTTGATCAGAAATGTTTGGATTCCATACTGCTGATATTATTTAGCCATTCTGAACCGTTTTCCATTATTTTATCAAAATCTGATATAAAGTTGTTTCCTTCGAATGCCTCAGTCAATTCTTCTTCCGAGAAAGTTTCACCTAATTTTGATTCGACTTCACTTGATTTTTCATTTTCCAAATTCATACAATTTCGACTATCCATATATTTAACAGACTTCATCTCAACAACATTGTCTTGATTTAATTTAGTTTTTCGTTGTAGTTTCCGTTCTTTTAGTGTTAATTCTCGCGCTGATTGAACCAACAAGCAATGTTCACATTGACAATCGCGATATGGACAAAAATTTTTGTGACCGTTAATGCGAACTTTTCTACCATGATTACGACAACTTACGCAAAATCTTTCCGATCTTTCTACGTTTCTGTTCACACAATTTTTTGCTTTCATGCAACTTTCAAAATTATTCATATTAGCCGTTCTGTCCATCTCAAATTTTCAAACAAGACTAATGCTTCTAATGCTTCTAATGCCATGAACAAAATTAAATAAACTAAAATTGAAATTTGATACTGAAATTTGTTTAAAATTCTTAGAAATTTGTTTACATTGCGTAATAATTAAATGTTTACTTAAACTGGAAAGCATCTATTCTCTATTATGAATAGATATTTAAATCTGAAATTGATAAGAGTTTTTCTGTCACCTTTTTAATTATGCTTTCTTTTCTAAAGAAATCATAATGAGCATAAAATAAGTATTAAACAAAATACAAATAAAGTTTAAGATTATTTTTAAATCATTAAAAATATTGGGATGCATAAACATGTTCGGAGTATCAAAAAGATGTCAACTTCTATAAATTACCAAATAACAACATTTGAAAATTTAAAAATTGAACAAGGGGTAAGAATGTTCGGGCTGGTACTTGTACACCCATTTAAGAACAATAACAAAATCGAAGGACCCATCTTCATATAATATTGGCCGGGTTTTTGTTTATGGCGTCCCGAGATAATTGCCTCGTGCCCCGACGGTTCGCGCGGATTTGACCTTCCATACAAAACGTACAGTGAAATGTGTCCGTG